TACTGATTATAAAGTTTGATATTGTATCTTTTTACAAAATTATGTGTATATGTTTCTATACAACTTGATACATATACCTACTCTCTTTATGTGCAGAATTATACAGATAAACTGCAGCCAAGTTACTTTAACTGGTTTTGCAGTATGAATTCAGAATGATTATAATTATAGTTTCTCTTTAAAAAATGAAGTTTTGTTCTTTAATATTCATTGACTACTAGCTTGCTTCCCACACACAACACATTATTTACCCTACAGTGGCTTGGTACATCAATTATGGTAATAGTTTGTGAATAACAATCACATTATGGAAAAATGAGGCTGGTTACTTAGCTCTCCCTCTGGAAAATTGTCACAAACATATGTATCATCTGTCTCCACTTAGAGTGCAGCAATTGGTAATTATAGCTGTGTATATTTTTTTAAAGAAAGCAAAGAGGGAAAAAATCAACCTGAAATGCCATGTTACCAAATGTTCTTAGGCTGTTGTCTGAAATTATTTTGTTTGAACTCTAGTTAAAAAAAAAAAATACATTTTGACAAAAAAAGAAAAAAAAATCATCCCTAGTTGCATACTGGATATGGAGAAATAGACAACGCATCTCTAAAAAGATATAAACTATTAAACAATTCTGTCTTCATCCAGATCAGATTAGAAATGACTAAGGTTTGAGATGTGGGAAGCCTGACTACAGCAGCTATACTCTGGAACCACACATGTCTGAACTCAAATTCTCATCTTACATCCTCTTGCTCAGTTAAACCATTATTTACTGAGGGCCTACTATTAATACATAGTACACACAGTACTGGATACTAAGCAAACTAGATGAATGAGATAACATATTATTTCTCGAAAAAGTTATAAACATGTTCAATACAGTTTGGTACAAAATGTACATTTTTAAAAGTTTTAAAGTACGGAGAGAGTTCAAGCAGAGAAGTCTGTTGGCAGAGAAAAAAAAAAATAAAAAGAAGGTATAGATAGCTCTGAGCTACTGTGATAAAATAATACTGGAGTTCATGATCCAATGAAGAAGAATTCTAGGCAACAATGAGGTTCAAGATCTGCAGTAAGAATGGACTCTTAGAAGGAAATACATGTGAGGACCAGAAGGAAGAAAGCTAAAGACCTTAGAAGCTCGGTTTTTGACAGTCATCTACAAGGATATTGAAACTGTCTAGGCCACATATTACTGAGCTTCTTTGACTCCAACTTTGTAGTTAGCATTCACCTGTAATACAAGGAAAATAAAATACCCCCAAGAATAAAGAAAATTGAGTATGGTTATTCTATATAAAACGTGCATGCAAACAAATTTCCAAGAGCTCTTTAAACATTACCATTTTTGTAAACCACAAAAATAATGCGAGGGTCTAGAATTTCAGAGGCAATGTGAAAATATTAAGACAACTTATAATTAAGGAGAAACAAGTAAGTAGTTCCTTTGCATAGATAGAATGTGAAGACTTTCCGAGTAATCCAGGATAGCTCAGGTTTACACATCACAGAAGCATCCAGGATATAGATCCTCTCCAGATGCCAGTCTTCACAAAGCACACTCAATCTTCTCCTTCTCAATGCCAAAGAGAGGCAGCTACCCAAAAACAATCCAGTCACACTGCCCCTTTGTGAATTACCAACTATTTTTCCAGGAACTCCTTACAGAAGATTGAATCCAGTGACTTCCAAAGTGTGGGCCTCCAGACCTACAATATCAGCACTGCCTGAAACCTTGTTGTAAATGTAAATTCTAGGACCAGCAGATGGCATAATGGTTATATCGCTAGACTCCCACATGGCCGACCGTGGTTCGAGTGCATGTATGCCCAAAATTCAGAGAGGGAATAAGAAGAGAAGGGAATCTTGCATGGCCATTCCTGGGGGGGAGGGGGTGATTTCCCACTTTCTATCTCTCTAGCGAGCACACACTCCCTATAGCAAAAATCTCTCTCAACAAAACAAAAAGTAAATTTGAGGCCTTCCTCAGATATACTGAACAAGACATTTTGGAGGCAGGGCCCCACAATTTATCCAACAAGCCTATTAAGTGATTAGATTGCAACTGAAATTTGAGAATCACTGACCTAGTGCCATCTCTTGAAGAGTGATTAACAGGAAATGAGTCCAATAAGGTCACATAGTGACTTGATTTCAGAATCACTACCACTTCCAGGCTCCTAGCCCTTTATTTCTTCTCTATATAGCGCGTGCAGTCCTAATAAATCAATCTGCTCAGCTGTACGCTTTAGTTTTGCCCTTCTGCCCTACTATGCCCTAACTTGGCTCTGATTCTGGTGACCAGGACACTTCAGAGAGAAGCCAAATAGCCCACAGTTTATTACCATACAGTGGCACAAGAAAAAAAATACTTCTAGAAGAGATATCTACAGTGTTTCTCAGTAAAAGGCCACCAAGCAAATACTTTAAGTTTTGAAGACCATACTGTCTTTGCCACAATTATTCAACGATGCCATTACAGTTCAGAAGCAGTCACAGGAAATACATGAACAAGGGTCAGGTAGTAACATAATTAGATCCAGGTGGAAAAAGTCCTGAGTTCATGTCCCAGGATCTCCTTGAGCATACCACACATGTCTGCCCATGATCCAAACCAACTGAGACTGAGAGTGAATTGTGGCATAAGTACCTTGTTAGGGATGCTTGTTTCTGTCTCCCTCTGTCTTTTTAATCATAGAAGAAATAAATGGATAAATGTTTTTAAAGGGTGAGGGAAAAAATATGTTTTAAAAGGGGGGATAGCTCTGTTCTAAATAAAATTGTACTTAAAACAACAGACACGAGTTCAGGTTTAGCTGGTGGGCTATAGCTTGCCAATTCTTGCTATAGAAGACAGCGGGTAGGACCAGCAGATGGCATAATGGTTATGTCAGTAGACACCTTGTAGCTCACTGCAGTTCAAGTCCAGGACCTGGTGACTTAAAACTCATGCCAGCAGGGCCAGCAGGTGGCATGGTGGTTAAAGGCACTGGACTCCCATATGGCTGACCATGTTTTGTGTCCTGCTCCTCTGTCCCACTCTGGTCAAATTAAAATAAATAACGTTAAATAAAACAATTTTTAAAACCAAACAAAAAAACAAACAAAAAAAAAACCTTACACCAGGTACATGTGCATGTATACCCAAAATCCCAAGAAAAGAATTGAGAAGAGACCGTAGCATGGCCATCCTCCTGGGGGTGATTTCTCCCTTTCTATCTTTCCATCTTTCTCTATCTCTCAGTACCTTATAACAAAAACCTCTTTTAAAAATAAAAAGAAAGAAAGATGGCTGGCACACTAATAATCAGGAACATAGAAATTAAGTTCCTAATTTTTTTCTATAGTTATATTTTTGACTGACTTCTTATTGGATGTGATTATATAGTTGCTATTTGTACCCAGTGATGTGGTAGATAAAAGACTTATGAAAAGAATGGAAGCATCAACCTGCTGTTGCCTTGTGCTTGTATTATCTCATTCCAGTTTCTTTAAATAAATTTTTAGAAATCACTTGTCTTCTCTAAAAGTTAGTAATATAACCCATTAACAAGCTTTTTGGGCCATGCAAACTGGAGCATGTGTCACAACACTGGGAATAAAGGCTGAAGGAGTCTGTAGTTTTGTGAACTAAGCCTTCCTTCAGAAACGGTCACACCCTACAGAATGTACGGGTGATTATCTCACAGCCTAAGTGATGGTGTTATGTTGACTCAGACATTAAATATCAATAACATTTACCAGCTTCCTTAAAGACAGAAACACATTTAAATATATTTTTCCTTTGTTCTAGTACTCTGATGGATTATCCTAAAAACCTTTGGGGTCTGGGGGCAGATGGGGCACACATAATTCACCCTAGAGATCTCTCCTCTCTTTCAGTGTTTGAACTACAGATGACCTTGATTGTGTGGAATCAATTTATTAAGAAATCACTACTCTGTGTGTGTGTGTGTGTGTGTGTTTGTGTGTATAAACGGAATAGAATGAGAAAGGAAATATATATATATATAAGGCATGTAAAAAGAATACCACATTTAACAAAACTATTTCACTTTTATATGTGCATATACAAGCATAAGTATGCATGTGTGTTTGAACATATACCTGATTATGACAGTAACTCTATTTCTAACTATGTGAGTTGGGACAAAATGTTTTGGAAGTCATCATCTAAGTGGAGGAATTTAGAAAGACCCTGGGATGAGTAACCAGCACAATTAATAGGTCAAAATCCAGGTGGGGCAGGACAGTGGCATGGCAATAAAATGTGATGCTCTGTGAGGCTGATGCACATGGAAAGGTTCTTTTTGGGTTCTAATTCAGAGATCTCCCTGAGAGCACCAGAAATATGTGTGCCTGTGATTCAGAGATGGCTAAGGCTGGAGATAGTAGATCATGGTGCCAGGGTGCTATCTTGTTGTATATGTCTGGCCATCTCTAGCTAGATCATGATGCCAAGACCCTGTCAGGGTGCTCTCTTGTTGTATATGTCTTGCCATCTCTCTAGCTTATAGAAGAACTAAATAAATAAACTTTAAAAAAAAAAAAAAAGCCAAGTGAATGAAGGGAGACAAAGCAAAGCAACAGCTATGGTATATTGGAAAAGACACAAAGCTTAAATAAGACTTGCATCTGAATGCCAGTTCTATGCTTTCTAGATACACAATTAAGGAAAGACACAATCCAATCCCCAAGCCTCTGTTCTCTTTACCTAAAAAGTGAAGTGTTATTTTTAAATCATGTTTTCCCCCCAAAGTTTCGTGTTTAGAATCTGGTCTTAGTGGGTGATAACTGGATGTCCCCTAGAAATGTATGTGTTTGGACTTGATGTACTGATTGTATTGTAAAGGTACTAAGTGAAAATTTAATTCCTTCATGGTATCCCAGAGTGAGACTTTTGCCTGTGATGATGTCATTAAGGTGGGGCCTCTATGACTGAATGATAGCGGGTATAATACTAGCAGCAGAAATGAAGTCAAAACAGCAGAGAGAAAGTCACAAGGATACAAGTCACATTCTGCCCTACTACAGTTCTGCCTTCTACCATTTGTGATGCTTTTGGACTTTCCATAATTGTGAGTTATAAATTTCTATATCTTTATAATTTACCCAACCTCATGTATTTCTGTTACCAATATAACAATGGATGCACACATGAAGATAAAATAACCTATTTTATGATGTTTGCTATGGGATATCAAGAAGACACCAAGGGAATGTCAAGAACATGGTAGGTGTTGGAGGATTATTCCCTCTTAAAAGAGAATTAGAGAACCTTGTTGGAGAAGCTTAAACATGCAACAAAACAGACAGCAAAGATCAATGTAGGGGAAAGCACTATCCAGAGCATAAAGCATTCTAACCAGCAAACCCTCTTTATTAGCAGAAGAGATAGTGTTCTATAAAAGAACAAAGATGTTGAGAAACCTATTAACAGCACCCTCCCTCCCAATCACCCCTGAATACACATACCTGTCTTTGAGGCTACAGAAAATACAAGCAACAGAAACAAAAAAATGAACGGTGGGCAGGGGGTATAGGGGGGTGCTTTGCAATCTCCAGCATCCTATAGCACAAATTTCATTATTCATGGAAGCAACCTAAGTAATTTGTAAGGAACAGGAAAAGTGTATTTACTTGAAAATTCATATGTTGCTGCAGAACAAGTACAAACTGATCTGTCCAGGAGCTCCACTGACAAACTGTTTCACCATCATGATGGGATCTTATGATCAACCCACAAGATTCATTTGATTTATCCAAAGGTGAGATTAGCTTTAATGATCTTAAAATACTATACAGCAAACAGGAAACCCTTACTTGGTAAAAACTTAGAAACACAAGTGACAATAATGATTGAACTTGAATCATTTGATTTTTCTCATTTAGCTTAACATGTACAGGTTCTAGGCCTGGTTTGGCCACTAATCAGTTCTGTGATAGTGAGTAAAGCAAAACTCCTCTGAGTTTCTCTTTAGCGCAAACAAAATAATGAAGCTGTCCAAAAATAGCAATTCAACTAGCAGTCCTGTTTTGTTTGGCCAGTATATTACTTTTTGAAAATTGGTTTTGAGTATATAACTCAATACTGATAACTACAGTGACATTACTGTATACTGAAATTTAATAAGAAGGAAGATTAAGTACTCTCACCACAAGAAAAGTGGTAACCATGTGAGGTGATGGATATGTTAATTATTTTGAAAGTGGTGACACATATTTCACAATGTATATTTACATCAAATCATCAAGCAGTAAAGCTTAAGTACACATTTTTTAAGAGTTAATTTATTTCTTCTATGAAGATAGAAAGAAATGGGGGGGAGGATAAAAAGAATGACAGGCACCATCAACATTGGCTTCACATTGCAATGGACCCCTAGCCTCCGGCTATCAAGATCACCAGCATATAGGTCCACTTGGCATGTACAGGAAGACTCTAGGACATGAATCCAGTACTTTCCTATTAGGCTTCAGCATTGCAGAGTGTGCATTACCAATGTACCATCACAATATATGCAATTTTTATCAACTAGACTTCAGTAAAGTTAGGGAAAAATGGTTCTGACTGCCTTAAGAAATGACAAACACTCAGTAGTTTGCCATAGACCCCAATTCTCTCTATCACATTATATGCCATCTGCTTACAGTATAAAAGCATTTCCAGGGCTTCTAATCTAGTTCTAAAATTCTAATTTCATTAGAGAAAGAGGAAGGAGAAAGCAGCCACATTTACCTTTAAGAACTTTGATTTTGGGAACCAGCAGTTAACGTAATGGATATGTCGCTGCACTCCCATGTAATCGACCACAGTTTGCGTCCCAGACCCGGTGGCTTAAAACTCACGCCGGGCACGTGTGCGTGCATGCCCAAGATCCCGAGAGGAGAATAGAGGAGAAGGGATTGTGGCGTGACCATCCCCCTGGGGGGTGATTTCTCGCTTTCTGTCTCCATGTCTTTCTCTTTCTGTCTGGTGAGCGCACGCGCCCTATAGTGAAAAAACCTCTCAAAAAAAAAAAAAGAACTTTGATTTTAAGAACATTAGGGCTGGCCCTGTGGCCTACTGGTGAAAGAGAGCCATACCACCATAAGGCCTGCTGCAGTCTGAACTCCGGCCCTGGCAGTTTGAAGATACACCAGACATTTGTGTGTGCTTGTCCAAATCCCAAGAGGAGAAGGGATTGCATGTGACCACACACTATTTGGGGAATGCTCCTCACCCCCCCCCAACTTTCTCTCTCCCTCTTTTGTCTATGGCAAGTGCACACAACTTCTGACAAAAATAGCAACAACATGCTTAATTGTACTTAAAGATTTGCCAAAAATCAGAAGATATTAGGAATCTCTGAAACAGCTATCAGAAGAAAAACAACAACATGTAACAGATGCTGAACCAGTAATACATTATTGAGACACGGTGTCCTGGGTGGTAGCAGCCCAACGATAAAAAAAGCCTGTGACATATATGTAGAAAACTAGAGACTGGCCAGCTCATGACTCCAAAGTAGGAATTCACCAAATTCCTATTTCGGGGGCAAGTTGTTAGGAGATCTTATATTTCTTTATTATGGCCTCTCCTTAGCATCTGACCTTAAAGTTAAGTACTCAGGAAAGCTAGCAGAATGGAGAACAAGATGACATTTCTATGAAAGAAGTTTTCTTACTAAAAAGAAATTCTAATAACTTATACACACAAACACTGCCTGCAGTTTCTACCACAGGCTGGCTAACCTTCCACTGAATAGGAAGTGAACATAAGGTTAGGTCTCCCCAGATGTTGGAAAGCATTCCAGCTGCCAAATACAACCTGTTTGCAATTTTCTACTCAACTACCAGAATGAAAATGCAAACCTTCAGAAAAACAAGCCCTTAAACTTCTTCCTGACTGCTGTTAGTGGTTTTTTTAATCTTTTAAGCTCTTGGGCTTAATACAGCAGCTGCCATCAAGAGTACTTATTGTTGCTGAGGATAAGAGGAAAGAAAAAAAAAATCATACTAAATTCAGAAACATAGATTTCCATTCTGCAAAATCTAGGCTAAAATGTGGAGGTGGAGGGGTAGAATAGGAACAATATTAATGGGCATCAGATGTGCCTAGTGTCCTTACGAAATTACTCTTAACTTCCCACCCCATCACTCTCCAGGTCCAACCCTAAGGACCACACTTTTGGGACAAGATCTCATAGCAGAGTTCTTATCAAACAACTTTGACAAAGGCTTAGTGTGAATAAAACGCATGAATTCTAGAAAGTGTCACTGATTTAGGAGAGGAAAGAGGGAAATGTAAAATGTCAATGCTCTCAAGTATCAGAGCTACATAACTCAAGAACAGGAAGGAAGATTTAACTATTATCTAATGTAGTGATCCTCAAATTTGATCAGCAAAGCACTCATGATAACAGAAAAGAATGAATATAGAGCATGAGCTCTCTCTACATACTCTGCTATATACACTTCATTTTTTTCCAGTTATGGTGTTAATTTCTTTAACATTATATGGAGATATACAAATTCTTTTTAAGTTATCAGTATTTTTGCTTAAGTATAAAATTATTGTTTGGTCAAAAATTTCAGGTTAAATAGGTATGAAAAGAAGACAAGAAGAGATGCTTACTGTGTTTGTATTGTGATTTCATAAAGCTCCTTCTACAATGCCACATTTTCCAAAACACACACAACAGGAACTTTGATCTAGTTCAATGCTACAATTTTGTTGACTAGGAAAAATAAAGACCCAGAGAGGTAAGAACTTATGCCCATCCTAGTTCATTACAATATACTTTTCACTAACTTACAATGCTCTGCTGTATTTAAGCTTTATGTAAGAGGTATTTGGTTGGTACAAAAGTAATTGCAGTTTGGCATTGTTGAAATCTGCTATTTGATAGTGGATACATTCTTAAACAAATGTGGTTATGCTATTCATTATTTTAAAGTGCGTTTCTCACCTTTTCTTTTTTTGCTAATGACTTATTACTTGCTGGTTATTTTATATGTATTATTTTAGACTATGGAAATGATGTTATACTAAAAGCAAATGTAAATGATTTTTCTCATTCGAGTTTAAAAAGAGTTGTGAAGCAGCAGAGACAACTTGCAACATCAATGCATTTTGGCCCAGGGACTTCAAACAAACGTACAGTGTGGTGGTGGTTCAAGAAGTTTTGCAAAACAGGTAAGAACCTTGAAGATGAGGAGCACTGTAATGACTTGCCATCAGAAGTGACCAACTGAGAACAATCATCAAAGTTGATCCTCTTAAAACTACATGAGAAGTTGCCAAAGAACCCAATGTTGACCACTCAAACGTCAGTGAGCATTTGAAGCAAATTGGAAAGGTAAAAAAGTTCAATGAGTAGGTGCCTCATGAGCTGACCATAAATTTAAAAAGTTAAAAAAAAAACATTTTTAAGTGTCATCTTCACTTATTCTACGCAACAACAAACCACACTTTTCATTTGGACTGTAACATGATAAAAAGTGAACTTTAAAGTATAGAGGTTAAAGTTTTGGATTCCCACGTGGCTTCCCACATGGTTTGAGTCCTGGACCTGGCAGCTTGAAAAATCACTCTGGGTAGGTAGGTATGTGTGTGTGCCCAAAATCCCAAGAGGAGCATGGAGGAAAAGGGATTATAGTATGGCCATCCTGTAAAGGGAGTGATTTCTCACTCCCCACCCCCTTCTCTGTTTCTCTCCAATGAGCACACGCACCTATGGTGGATGGTGGGGGTGGGGGGAAGCAGTGGATTTCATAGGACAACCAGCAACCACCAGCTAGTAATTGGGGAAAAAAAATAAATAAACCACTACAAAGCACTTTTCAAAGCCAAAATCATACCAAAAAAAGACCATGGTCACTGTTTGGTGGGGTCTGATCCACTACAGCTTTCTGAATCCCAAGAAAACAATTACATTTGAGAAATAAGCTCAGCAGATCGATGAGGTGCACTGAAAACTGCAACATGTGTAGCTGGCATTGGTCAACAGAAAGGGTCTGATTCTTCACAGCAATGACTGACGGCATGTCACACAACCAACACTTACCCACCTGACCTGTCGCTAACCAACTACCACTTCTTCAAACACCTTGACAACTTTTTGCAGGGAAAACACTTCTACAACCAGCAAGATGCAAACGATGTTTTCCAAGAGCTGGTCAAATCCTGATACACAGATTCTTATACTACAGGAATAAAAAACCTTATCTCCTGTTGGCAAAAATGTGTTGATTGTAATGGTCTCTATTTTGATTAATAAAGATGTGTCTGAGCCTGGTTATATTTCACAGTCCAAAACACAATTGTTTTTGTCCCACCTATTAAGTGAAAAAGCTTACTGCTGCTCTCTCCTCAAAAATTAATTCCTTCCCCCCAAATTGCCCAAACCTTGCTGATGTATGAGGGAGATACCCAGTATACCTGCTGATACCAATGAACTATCTGCATTTAGAATCAAATTAACATCTTAATAATATAGTGGGTACCCAGCATCTATTACTTTCACTTGGTTTCTTAGTATCATTTTTTTTATCTTTACACGGAGAAGTATGGGTAGCACAAAGTTATTTAACAAAGTAAACACTGCAAATATAAGCTTGCACTTTCACACTTTCTTTAACAGTTTTGGGAATTAGAAAAACATAAATGTTATCCCTTGAGGGAAAAATAAAAGCTTTATCCTTAGAAGAAACTGCCATAAGAAGAAACAATGTGCAAACAATGTAGAAATTAAGAACCTGGATACTTTTTGTTTGGATAAATCTAATAAAAACACAAAATTTAAAGTAACTAAAATAATCTTTTTGTCCTTCTTTCTAAATAAAATCCAAAATCTTTAAAAACAGTTTTCTATATTAGGAGGAAAAGTCTTCAAATACACTTGGCACATAAATAACTGAAGTTTATCATATTTTTCCTATCCCTTTATCTTATAGATCATTGTCTAATGATATCAGTAATGAACTTCCATTAAAGGGAAAAATCAGGCAGAAAGTATACTTCTCAGTGTAAATCCCAGAACAACAATGAAAACTCAGCTACCATCTTGGAATCGCCTCTTTAGTTGCAACTCCCCAGAGTCATTTTTAAAAGCATAAAAACATTCATTAGCCTACAGGGTGTTTCTCAAAAAGTTCTAGTCAATTCAATATATGGCTTTATGGAGTCCTCCAAAAAACCAAATGCAAAACAGATGACTACTATATATTCCCTACACTATCAGAGAAACTAACTGTATTTACTCTAACCTCAATGGTTCCAGATATTTTGACAAGTTAAATCAGCTCTATTTGGCTCTGCAATTTCAGAGCAAAAACTGCTGAAATTAAAATATAATCCTGATCAGAAGGCAAAGAATTCAGAAACTACAATCTTTCCTGTTCTCTAAAGACTAAAAAATACAATGCTACTCTAGAAACACAAAGGTCTAAAAACTCAAGAACATTCATGTGGTATGCTCAGCAGCTAACTTAGCTCAATTGAGAAATACTTTAAGTTAATACTACGGGCATTCTCAAAATCTAGAAGTTCTAGAATATGCCCCTAATTCACACCAAATCTAAGAAGCTCTTGGAAGTTGGGTATTTAATGAAGAGACAGGTAGCTGGATGGGTATCCAGATGATCAGATCTCCTAATTAACTAAAAACTATTGGTTAGCAAATTTAGGGTTCCACTTTAAAGAAGTCCCATTGGCAATTTTGTACTACTGCTTTGGCTAAGCTGAGGTAAATATAACTGAAATAATACTGAAATCTGCACTACTGTATAGACACTGATTACTGTTAAAGTGAGAAAATTTCTTCCTTGCAAATTTACTACCATACTCATACCTATATAATTCTCAAAATCTGCCCTTTGTAAACTGGGATTTGTGCTAACTATGTAATACAAAATCTGTGTAGAGATTTCTTTTTTTTTTTTTTTTTGAGAGAGAGGTTTCTGCTGTAGGATGCGTGTGCTCACCAGAGAGACAGAAAGTGAGAAATCACCCCCCAGAAGGGATGATCATGCTTTGCAATCCCTTCTCCTCCATTCTCCTCTCAGAATTTTGGGCATGCACATCCATGTGCCTGGTGTAAATTTTAAGCCACCAGGCCCGAGACTTGAACCATGTTCGAGTATGTAGGAGTCCAGCAACTTAACTATCATACCATCTGCTTTGATATCATTTGGCCTTCACTTAGAACACAGAATCAGAAGTCACGAGTCAGTGCTTGATTATAAAGTAGTCAGAGAAGTTACTATAAATATGCTTATGTTGTTCAGGAATGAAATTAGAATAAAAGTTTATTCAACCAAAATAAAAATATGCCCAAAATGATCACAGAGAACTCATAGAATTCTTTATGAGAAGTAACAACCCATTTCCTCTCAATATATTATTACATACCACAAATCTACCAATATATACTTTTTCCATTTTAAAGATAAGAAAACTACATTGAAAACAACTAAGTATCCTGACACCAAAGTCATATACTCAGAATGTAGTTACACTGAGATTGGATTTCAAAGTCCATGTTCTTTCCACTTGCTCATGCTACTTCTTTTTTAACTAATAAATATATATATATATAACTGTTTACTTTATTCATGAGAGTGTATACTCACACAAGTGGTTGTGGTGGTGCTTGCCCTTAAGGAGTTCTGCGCACACAGCAATCCCCTTTCCTCAGCCTTCCAGCTCTTCACAACTTTGGTTGTGTGTGCACTGGCATAGTTGCACATTAACAGGGTTTCCAACACTGCAGCTCAGTAGGCTACAGCCTATGTCACTGAGGTTGGACCTCAACAATACTCTTAACAGGATATATATGTAAAATGTGGCTTTCAAAACCTGTTTTTCTGAGCACCATGATATATAGCACTACTTATAAAATATGGTACAGAAACTTTGTGCCACATTTAAAAAAACTATATAGGCAACTAGCTCACAGTTTTGTTTTATTGGTATAATAGTATCATTGGCGTGTTTTCAAGACAAAAATAATATGTGTTTTAAGCAATATTTAGGAAAAATTAGACCCAATTATGTTTTCAACTGATTTTTTAATATAAGTAGCAGTCATTAATTCCCAGCCTGAGAAACTGAGGGTCTCAATAAATGCCTAGTATTGCAATGACCTTCATGAAGCACCTGAAGTGCATACCAGAAGTAAATATCATAATTACATTAAAACATTTACCAAGTACCTAATTCAATTGAACACACATACATTAATCATCTACTCTGCATCAAGCATCAAGTATGTTCCTAGCAATACAAACAAGGCTAATAATTGAACCAGACAACTTGCTTCTAAAGTAGCCCAAAGAGTGGGACAACAGGTGGTGTGGAGGTTAAGGATCCCACATGGCCAGCTTCAATGGTTCAAGTCCTGAAACCACTGGCTTGAAAATCATGCCAGGTATGTGTGAGTGTGTGCCCAAAATCCTGAGAAGAATGAAGAGAAGAGACCATGGGTGGTCATCTTCCCAAGGGGGGTGTGATTTCTCCCTCCTGTACTCCACTTCTCTGGTGAATGCATATGCCCTAAAACAAAACAACAACAACAAAAGTCCCAAGTGTAGGCAGGAAAATCCTCAGAGTTGAGACTACAGCAAAGGCTGTAACAAGGTGCTGCAGGGGCATTTAGAAGACTAGCATGAGGGAAGACTCACAGTGAATGTGACACTTCACTCCAGTGTAAAAGAAAAATACCAAATTTCCCGACAGCACCGTAAGCTATTAAATGTTTCTAAACACAATCAAATCTGGGTTTAGAATATATACTTGGTGATGATTTGAATTGGAAGGTAGAAAAATTAAAATAAACCTTTTTATATAGTTTGGTGGGCAAAGCCTATTGTATAGTGGTTAGAAGTGATGCCTTTGGGGATCAGCAGTTGGTGTAGTGGTTATGTCGCTGGACTCCCATGTAGTCGACTGTGGTTCAAGTCTCAGACTCAATGGTTTAAGCTCACACCGGGCACATGTGCATGCATGCCCAAGATCCCGAGAGAAGAATGGAGAAAAAGGGACTATGGCGTGACTATTTTCTCTAGGGGTGATTTCTGGCTTTCTGTCTCTGTCCTTCTGTTGAGTGCATGCACCCTATAGCAGAAACTTCTCAAAAAAAAAAAAAAAAAAAAAAGGCGATGCCTTTGATAATTGCTAGCTCTATGACCAGATGTAAGCGGTTTTTAACTTCTCTAAGTCTCACTCATCTGATCTATAAAAATGTGGACAGGGTAGAACAGTGGCACAGCAGTAAAATACAACAGTCTGCAAGGACACCCCATGTGGAAGGTTCTGGATTTAAGCAGGAAGAACTCCCTCAATGGGCCAGACACATGTGTGCTTATAGACTGGGGCTGGATCATAGTATTGGAACACTGTTGGGGTGACTTCTCTATTTCTCTCTCTCTGCTCTGTCTCACTCATGGAAGAAATAAATGAGTAACTTAAAAGAAACATGCACAGAGACCAGCAATTGGTGTAATGGCTATGTCACTGGACTCCCATG